CTCAAGAAAGTATGTGTAGAATAATATTCCATTCATAATCATTATTACTCTGTTTTGTTAGGAATTGTGATATATCCTATAAAAGTCCTGCTTCATTTCATTATTTCAGCAGTTCTGTAAGACTGACATTTTTCCTTCCCATTTTACATGAGGTTAAGTAATCTGCCTAAGGTCACATACCTACTAAGAGTCAATACTGTAGTAAAGGTCATCTGATCTAAAACGGCATTATTACTCTGATATACTGCATGTCAGTGAGACTAATGACTACTTTACATCCTCATAACAAAGACATTAAAGAGTTAGGGGTAATTTTCCAAGATACATGTTTGCTTCAGAAAATAGTATGGGTTCTTTTCCTAGATCTTGTTGTTAAGGGTTTTCTAATCATTTGGTTTAGTTTTTTTCCAAAGTAAAATTTTATCTATTTCACATGTTAGGAAGCACTAATAAAGAGGTTCCAAGTGATTTATAATTAAATAGGATAAAGTCCACATATAAAGAAAACTTTTTTCTTTTCCTCCACAGAACTACTGTTAGAAACAGAGAAATCTGTTAGCTGCTGTCTGTATAATTTTTAAAAATGTGTTCCCTTGATGACTAGCATTATAAATTCCATAAACTATATGTAGGCAGCCACAAAATACCCTACTCATAGAAATAACCTCCCCAAATTCAAAGACCCAATCAAAAAGTGGGCCTCTGAGATGAATACACACTTCTCAGATGAAGAAATACTAACGGTGAATAAATACATGAAAAAATGTTCAGCATCATTGGTCATTCATTAGATGCAAATGAAAACAACACTGAGATTCCATCTCACCCCAGAAAGAATGGCCATCATCAAAAAGTCAACTGATAATAAATTCTGGAGGGGCTGTGGGGAATGAGGAACCTTGCTCCACTGTTGGTGGGAGTGTGTACTGGTGCATCCTCTGTGGAAATCAGTATGGAGAAACCTTAAAAACTAAGATTAGAGGTCCCATTCAATCCAGCTATTACCCTTCTGGGCATTTTCTCAGGAGAATTAAAAACATCATACCACGGCAATATATGTGCACCCATGGTTATAGCAGCACGATCTGTAATAGCCAAGTCTTGGAAACAACCCAAATGCTCATCAACCGAGGAATGGATAAAAAAGATGTCTTTTTTATATAATAGAGTATTACTCAGCCATAAAGAAGGATAACCTGGAGACTTTTATAGGTACATGGATGCAACTGAAGACTATACTCATAAGTGAAATAAATCAGATTCATATGTGTAAACATTGTATTGTCTCACTAGTGTGAAAAACTGAACGTATAAACAAAGTCCAGAATGTACAACAGATATAGTAAATTTGGAAGAAAAGAAATGATAAACTGTGATGGGAAAAAGAGGAAAGGAAGGAAGGGAAAAGGAAAAAATATTTATTTATACATAAGATAGTCAAGATAGTTATACAGCTAGTTTCTCTTAGTTCACTGAAAAAGAGGTTTGTGCTAATATTGTTTGAACAAGATATCATGCCTATATCTTGTTCTCTGAAGAACTACTATGAAGACAACAATACACAATGTATGAATTATTGTGCCTCTCCTACTAACCTGTTTTGAAATTCTGTACTGTTATATTTTTCTCTTTAAAATAAAAGTACAATTTTCAAGAGTGGTATTAGAACCATAAAAGAAACTAAATTTGTAATGTCTTCTTTAACTATAACAAAGGTAGAGCACAACAAGGGTAGAGTGAGCTTGGATATTAGTAAGGCATCATTAGTAAGAGATAAATCATCATTAGTAAAGAGATAAATCTTTCCTTTTCAGAAAAAAAAGCAAGCATATATATGTATGTATGTATGTGTGTGTGTGTATATGTGTATATATATATGCTAAAAACAAAAAGAAGCTGAAGTAATACAGAATTCTGTGTGTGGAGTAAAGTGCAATTTGGTTATAGGCTAGTGGGTATCTCAAGTATTTACATAAAGAAACTGGAAATAGGTTCCTATATTACTTACACTTTAGATGAAAAACTGGTTTCATCCTTCAATTTTTCTAAAAATTGATAATGAAAGTATAACAGTATGTATGCACTTCAGCACAGAAGTATTAAGAAGCAAAAATAATTTCCTATTTGTAATAGAGATTAATAGGAACACCTATGTCCAGAGTACATCTTCCAAGGATTTCCTGTAAGAAATCCATTCACAATTCTCATATTGAATTACAAGTAGCTAACACCCAGGCAGGGGCCACATATTAGAAGCCAAAGTACACATGCCTCAGAAAGACTCCCCATAATGTGCAGGTGTTTATGTGTGTTTGAGTGTGTGCTGCTTCATTAAAAGTCAGTCATGTGACCACTTAAGCACTAACATCTTCAAAGACAATTAAATATTTTGAGAAACTATGAAAAAAGAAACGTTATGAATCAATGCTAAAAATGTAAACATCAATTTATAGAAAAATGGGCAAGTAACAGAAGACAACAGAACAGCCAAGGAAATAGAACACGGTAATACAGGTATAGCTTTTAGTTCATGTAACACGCAAAATATTATAAAATTGAAAACATCTATGAATGGAGAAGTTAAAAACACTGTACATTTAACAATCATACTGTACTTTTCCCCCATCTTACTTTATTCCACTTACAAGGAATTAAGATTTCTCTTATTTTATTACCAAATTGCCACTTACAAGGAATTAAGATTTCTCTTATTTTATTACCAAATACAGTAAAAACTAGAAAAAGAGCAAACAAATGTATTTCTATGACCATAGGGTTATGAAAATATAGCTCTTTTTATGTACTTAATCACAGAAACATATCTTGTTCTCTGCTCTGCTATATCCTTGCCATCCTATGGTATGTATTTGTAGAAGTGAAATCTGAGAAAAGGAAAGTGAAATAAGTAAAAGGAGCAAATAGCATCTGGCTGGAAATTTTCTCAACATAAAATGATACTCAGTAAGGCCTGGTCAGCATATTAAATGCAACACTTTAAAAACTGTTTTGTAAAAACCACTATATCATCCCCTCTATATCACTGCTATGAAGCCAACTTAAAATTTTTGGAATTGACACATAAAGTAAGATCAAAAAGAAAAAACAAAGTTAAACGTTTCACAATCTACACAAGTTATTCCACATTTTTACACTTCTTCTAATAGAAGAATGAGCTCTTTGTATTTATTGGCATAAGCTAGTTTACAAAATGAAACCTGATTAGTCTGTTCAAAATCAGAGTTCTGCAAATAGTAATTTTCATAGATACCGCTTATCGCCAGTACTCCCTAATTAAATGTTACATAATTTGCTCATTTTGCAGGATTCACATGAACAGAAACAACTAGAATAATTAGCAGAATTATATAGCTACTACTCTAGCAGAAGAAACTACAGTAAATGTAGCATTAATTCTGCATTCTACATTAACTCTTTGTGAACTGTGTAAGAAAATACCTAAAGTTTATTTTCTCTTTGAAATATGGTGAAATATTTCATCTTTGAGATATGGTGAATTAAATTTTAAACACTGAGATTAGTGGATTCTAAGGAGCAATATGAATTACTTATTTCCAGTTACTCAAGAATGAGCTTCTGAAAAATCATTGAAGTAAATACAAGTGAAATCTGCTTTATAAGAGTCTTTGTTTTCTCTCAAAGCAATCTAAACAAATAAAAATATTTGCAATTTACAATGGTAATGTTACAAAAAGTCACGTCATGAAGGTATAAATTAAAATCCAAATGACTTTCAATGTGGGATACTAAAATAATTATTATAGCCTAAACATGCAAGTTTATACATGGCATACAAAATGGTTTTTAGGTACCATAAATATACTTACTACTATGCTGACCAAAATATTTCACGAATAAGGAAAATACAAGAAGCCTTTATAAGACTACTTATTTGTTCACATTCAACCTGTTTCAGAAATTATTTCAAGTGTCCTTGGTTTCAAAGTGTTTGAATTCTGAGTTTGAAAATTTTTAGATATAACCTTATACTAACGAATAGATTACAAATTATTACTAAACAGAAATCTGGTGCTGATTTGATCTAAACGTATTTAATTGCAACAAAAACAAGTTATTTAAATGATTTCAGAAACAAGACCTCTGTTCTCTATTCGGGTTACACTAATAAATTTTATCCTGTGAGCATATATCTCAAAATTTTATCCTGAGAGCGTATCTCTCGCTTTGGTTTCTAAGTGTTTTTACTACGTCTATACATAGTTAAACATTAATTTCATTTATAGTCAGAAGTATTCGAGGTCTTCTTGGCAACATGTACATTGGTTTTCCTGTGATGAAGAATTTTACAGTTCCCTGGCCAACCAGTGACTAATCAGAGGACTTCTTCACAAAGGAAGTTTTATTCCACATTAGTGAAATAGGATTGACTCCCCAACTGGCCCAAGTAGGACAGAAGCACGGGAACTACCCACGCTGTGCACGGCACCGGCTCGTCCCTTTAACGCGCAGACCTTTACTCAGTCTCCCGCTGGAGGAGACTGCCGATCTCACAACAGAACAAGCGATACCCTCAGCACGCAGCGGTGCGCACTCGCCCCTATTCTGAAACCCGGGTTTCTGACAGCCTCCAAGGCGCTCCCGGAGCCCCGAAGCTGGTGTCTGTCCTTGGTGCTGAAACGCACCGCGGTTCTGTACCCTCTCCTCGAAACTGCTGCCCCCCGCTGAGCGGGGGAAAGGGATCACTACCTGGGGACCCTGAAAACGCGAGCCTGGCCGAAACCCGCCAAGTTCCCGGGCAGAGCACGCTCACTGGAGCGCGCGCGCGGCCGCTGGAAACACGCGGGGCCTCCCCGGCCGCGGGGACCCCGGGGACCACTGCGGCAAGGCGGGGCGCCGCGCCCCCACCTCCCGCGGGGCGCAGCCCGCGCTTTTGCTTCGGGGGAGGGGGCCGGGCCCGCACCTGCCCGCTCCGCACCCGAGACAACAAAAGACCCGGCGTCCGACGGCGGCGCGGCCCTCACCGTCCCGGTCGCACAGCTGGATGGCCTCCAGGCTGAGGTTCTTGATCACCTCCTCGCAGGGGCTGGACGGGCTGCCGAGCGCGGGGTCCAGGCGCGGCACCTCCATCTTCAACCGCTGCTCGGGCCGCGGGCTGCGCGTCCGGCTCCGGCCGCTGGGCGGGAAGGGCGGGAAGGGCGCGGAGGGCGCGG